TCCCACCCCAGGCAGGCATGGCGGGGTTTGGAGAGCCTTCCAGCCCCCCGGCACAGCTGCTTCAGCTTTTTTTTTTCTTTTTTTTTTTTTTAAATTGCCAGATCCAAATGTATATTCAGTACCTGTCTGAAAGCCTGTCCTGGCAGAGGAGATGGATTTAAAGGCTCGGGTAGTAACGGGGTCGCTTGGTTTCCAGTTTGGTCGCTAAGGTTGCTCTGCTGCCCCATCCCCGAGTGATGGCTGCTGCCAGGAGCCCCATCCTGTGATCCAAAGCCTTGCTGTTGTCAAACCTGGTTGCAGCTCAGCTCCCTTCCTCCCAGCCGGTCTCACGGGGCCTTGCATCCTTATCTCAGGCAGGGGATGAAACTGGGTCGTTGTCCGAAGGGGCAGAAGCAGCTCTGAGCGCTCTGTGGAGGCCATGGTCCGGGCAAGCAACGGGCCAGGTGCTGCTGACGGGACAGCTCCTTCCATGGAGCGAGAGAAGCTCTGGTGTTTGGGGCCATGGCTGCTCTTGGACTTCTCCGGGCTCTGTGTGGAGCCCCAGCCGGTGAGGTGGACTTTGCCGGGCTCCCGGGGAGGGTGGATGCTGTGGTGTGCCTTCCTGCTGCCGGTGGTTCCCCCACGCAGCCCCTGTGGCTTTGCTTGCTGCTTGCTGTCCAGGGCAGACGCTGGCTCCCTTCGCTCTGCTCGGCGCAGGAGGGCATCGGTGCGGGGGCACCTCCCAGCCAGCCCCGTGTACCTCACCCTCGCCTGCCAGCTAAGGCTGTCCAACCCTGGGCTTGGTCTCCTGGGACAATTCCCACTGCACCCGTTAAATCCTCGCCTGCTTCGTTCTCGCAAATCGTTTGGTGTTGCCCACCCGGTCTCAGAGATTCCTCCCGGGAGGCTGGCATCCCGCGGAAGCAACTAGGGATGCCATTCAGCCCACTCTTTTCTTCACTCTGTTGCTAATAACGGGAGACCCCAGACTGATATTTGTGCTCCGGGGTTGAGTTTTCAGGGCTGGCAGTAGGCACGCAATGTTCATTACTTCCAAATTTCTATTTTATCTGGAGTAGTTTAAGCCCAAGAAGCACAGATCTTTTCCTTCCAGGTAATGATGTGTATGTAAAATTAATCGCCATGGAACAACCGCACTTCCGGAGATGCGCTGCTGTTTTTCCGTAGTCTCGGCACTTACTGTCGAAGCTGAACTTCTGCCAGAAGCTGCTGAGCAGGGTCGACCAACCTTTGGGATGAGCATCAGCTCTTGCCTCTCCCGCTACTCCTCCATCCTGCAGCTTTGTTCTGATCGTGAGGGCTCCCGCAGCTTCTCCGTCTGCTTCACACAAGGAAAAAGGGCGCGCGGCCTCCGTGGGACATGGCCAGCATGCTCCAGCCTGGCAGCGCGTATCTGGGCTTGCAGAAGAGTCTCAGCTTGGCAGGTCAGTCGTCGGCCCCCGAGCCCAGGGATGGGCAAAGGAACGGCTGCAACCTGTGTGGCTCAGTGAGCAGCACGGATCCTCCTGCGGACCTCTGGGAGCAAAATCGTTGCTCAGAAGAAAGGAAATGGCAGCCCTTGTAAGGCAACACGTTAACACATCCGCGCTGCTGCTGCTGCTGTTGGTGATAGCTCACACTGAGACATTTTTAGTAAAATTGTATTGGGTTTGCGAGACATGATACCATTTCAATTGAATTATAGTTCTATTGTAAGGCTTCATTTCCTCTCACATAAAACAGGATCTAACCTCCAAGGCTCTTTGCAGGCTATTGCTGCGCACAAAATGCCTGCTGGGTTTTATTGCACAGACACTGAGCTACCAGGGGCTGGCTTATTGCTTTGTAAAACGTTAGCGCAACCTTGAATAGGAGAGGTGTCATATAAAACTAAACAAACCCTTTTTTCTCCCATTTCAGATGATCTGTGAAGATTCTGTATTGAGATCTCTAGTCAGAGAGTGAAGCAGTAATGAGAGCCTTT